GGGCGGAGAGGGGCGCCAGCGCCGCACCCCGAGCCCCTTGGCGCGGCCACACCATCCACCGATTCTCCCCCCTCCGGCGTCCCCAACACTGCCCGCCCGGTGCCCGCTCCGCGGGGACTCCGTGCCCGGCGCGTGAGCGATTGCCCCACAGGATGTGCAGATGTGGCGGCCCCGCTGATTCACTCCAGCTGCTGGGGGCCTGCTTGCAGGGCGGCGGCTTCCTCTCCTGGAAACCACTGCCTGCACAAAAACCCCGGGACCATGCTGCGTAAAAGCGGACAGGGAGAGCCCAGAGAGCGGCCGGGGCAGGGGGAGGCTCCGAAATTATTTTCTGTGGTTCTTCCTACCGTGAAGGAGACCGAGTCGTTTTTATTGTGTGAGCATTTTGCCTCACGAAATTAAGCATGGGACCCAAACCACACAAACCAAACCCACTGCCACGATAATGGACCCGAAGCTGGGAGGTCCCGCGTGTCGAGCTCGATGTGCCGTGATGGTGTGACTGTGTAGCGCTGAAGCACAGACTAATTCCCCACTGCCATCAGGAGAGGCCGACGCATAGCAACATCAGGTCGGTGCCAACTCCTAGTGACCCTAGAAGCCTCGTTGAGCTTCCCAAGAAACTGTAACCTTTTTAGGGACTAGAAAGCTCGCCCCCACCCGCCAGGGGCTGGTGGGTTCGAACTGCTGACCTTCAGCATCTCAGCTCCTTGACAACTTCCAGGACCCCCATGTAGAGTTTCTGAGGCTGTGAGTTTTTACAGGTACAGGCAGCCTCATCTTTCTCCCGCAGAGCAGCTGGTGTTTGTGAACCACTGACCTTGCAGGAAGCAATCCATCCGTTAACCTTACAGCACCACCAGGGCACAGCAGCAAAAAACGGGATTATCCTAGCTAGGAATCCCGAAAGAGGCTAGTCAATAACTCGGGATAGGACACAGTATTTCCAATCTATTACTCTTTCTCCTGCTCGACATCATTTTGTTATTGTTAGAATGTACGCCCTAAAACCAATAGCAGGAGTGCTTCATACACAATTTAGTGACATTGATCACATTCTGAGTGGACACTGTCCCCTCCTTTTCTGAGTTGTTCTTCCCTCATTAGCATAAACGCACTGCCCCCTAAGGTTTCTAACTAATCTTTCCAGTTGCCGTTGTCAAATTGAGGCCCCAAAGGTAGTTCTCAAGGCCGACCTTTTTTACCAGTTTAGCTAAACTATGATTGTTTTAAGGTGACCTCAAGGGGTAGTTTTGGTTTACGGTTTAAAGATGATCCCAGGGCAAGTCATTGGCTTTGGAGCACTCCATTGGTATCTTGGTTTCGGTGACCAGAGAGGAAGCAGATTCATCAGATGACAGCTGTCTTCTGGGCTGGGCTCCCGGAGAAGCAGGAAGGAGCGAGGAAATGCGTCGGCAGAGGACCTGCTGGCTGAAACGCTGGGTGAAGCTGTGCAGAAAGGTGTAGGGTGTGTCTGAGGCCCTTTCCCCTTCTCACTTCTACGTGTCTGCATGCATCTTGTCTAGCAACAGAAGCCCGTGTGGCCAGATGCTACCGCTCACCCACAGGCCTACTGATTGTATTCAGGAGCTTCGGTTTCCTTTAGAAAATCCATTCATTCATTCACCAATGTTAGACTCTGAGGACCAGCACTGAATAAAACATAGCTGCAAGTTGATGTCAAGAGAGCATGACAGACAAGTAAGCCCAGAGGTGGGTGACAGGAGAAGAGGTCACATGCTGCCACACTGAGGAGTGGAGAAGCCGGATGGTGTCGGAGAGGGCCTGTCTTGGTAGAAACACTTAAAATCCACCCCAGCCTTTCACCCCCGGGGTAGCTGTGGGAGACACTCAATGAGGGATGGATTGGGAATCGGGGCCCTTGGGCAGACAGAGGGACTACTTCCAAGAGGTCAAGTGGAAAGATGATGCCAATGTGGATGAAGGCCCGCTTGGCTTGTCACTTGCCCCAGGCCTTGGTGATTTAAGGAAGGAATCTGGTATACAAGCACTATCTTCTCACCCTTTGTTTTAATCACCTCCAATCTGCAGTGTACTCACAAAACAACAAATTAAATCCCTATTTACAGACCTGTGTGGGTGTCCCAAGAGCATTGCTTCTTTTTATACATAAGCGTGGCTTTGCACAGGGCCAGGAATAGCCACCGAGGACCTCAGCAAATACAGGTTAGTCCCAGCCCTTGGCTGTGTGATGTCATAACTGTGGAGCGGCCTGTACACCTCCGTGGGAGTGATCCTGATCCTGAGCTGCTCACAGGCCACCCTTCCAAACTTAAATTCCGTTTGGGGGCGTGGACTCCTCCCCGTCTGTGCTGAGCCATCAGCATCTGTGCCCAACCTAATTATATTTATGCCGTCTTGACTGGCAATTACTTTTTTCTGTTCTAAGAGAGGAAGGGGAAGAGAGAAAAAAAAATTAACATGCCCAAATTACAATGAAAGGAAGTGAGTGGGAAGATGGGCGCTGATTTCTGTGGCCAGGCAAAAAGAGGAAATTCAAAGTTGGGGCTTGGGGTCCTTGGGGAAGGGATTCAAGACTGGTTCCAGCTAAGCTAGGGCCAGGCGGCCAATCACTCATTCTCATGTACATCCTCCGAAGGGGTGGGGCCAGGTTTTGCGGAGGACTAATAGACCATCACTCTGGAGGTCCTTGTTAAGAAGAACAAATACAGAGCTATCGGCACAAATAAGAAGGGGCCCGAGTAAGGAAAAGGCCATGAAGCTGAAGTTTCATTAGCTTCCCTCTCAATCCGCCTCTGGGCCTCCTCGAAGACTGGCCGCTCCCTCCTCTTTCCCTGAAGCAGGCAAACTTCAGACTCTGAAGGCAGCGGGGAGTGAGGTTTATGAGCAGAAGCAATAAAAACCCGAAGACATTAGGCTGTGCCAAACAGTGACTCAGGCGGGATATGAGAAGTGTCTGTAAGTATTTGAAGGGTGTAAGCACAGAGAAGGGAAAAGAATTGTTCACTGTTCTGGGGTGGAAAGGGAATAAGGATACAATTAAGGAAAGAAAAATGTGCCCCGAACCCATCAGGAAACATTGACCAACTGTATCTTCTGATACTGTGGAGCTGCGTTTCCCACGGGAAGTATTTGAGGATCTATTGAGTCACCCAAAACTGGAACTGGCAGCAAAAATGTGCAACAGGAAACAATCCTACAAGATGGCCTCGAGGGAGTGGCTGGAAGACCCCGAAAGCCCCCGGGGCCTGGATTCCGTGCAGCTGACACATGGCGTTCTGTAGATTAAGAATTCGGAGGAGAGGAGGCCCAAGAAGAAGGAAGAAGGGGACAGCCAATTGGGAGCAGAAGTCCCCTCCACCCACCATTAGCAGACTGGGAGGGGAAGCGTGAGCCGGAAAGGGAAAAATGTGGGAAAATAGCGCCGCCCAGCGGTGGGACGGAAAACACTCACCAGAAACCCACACGTGG